TTCGGTAAAAAATAAAACTTCTTGTGGCAATAGTTCGATACTCCCGGTAATTGAACTATATATCAGCAGCAATGATCCAGTGAGACAAAGCACCTAATTTTTAATCAATCTAAAGCACCTTCAAATACTTAATGATTGCGAAAATCAGATGGAAGGTGAAAAATTTATATTTAAGCATATCTCGTTAAACTAGAAACCGGTCTAAAAATACGTCTAAACAAGAACGTTGTGATAACGATAATTATAACAAGTACGATAATAGAAGGCCATGTGGTGGTAGTACGATTTTCAAGACCATAGACAGACGTCAATAAATTATGGCCGTTTGCCAGTTTATCGTCTATGGATGTTAAAAGTTTTTGTTTCATCGCTTGAAACCTCATGATAAAGTTGAATAAATATATTTCCTTCGTTTAAATGAATAACATTTACAGGGCCTAGTTAAGATTGAATAGTATATGAATAGTGGAGATAAAAAGTTTTGAAGTTTCTTTGAATTAGAGAAAATATGACCCTGATTTTCTCCATTAACTTAAAACAAGGTATGTTTTGGTTTTAGTTTACTTATATAACTATGCTTTATTACTTTATAACCATACTAATAATAATTTTGAATGTCATTTTTTCTTATTAAAAGAAGTAAAAGAAAGTTACGTATCGTATACGTATGGTAAATATGCAAACTACCTTAAATAGTTAAATAAACCGAGAAACTGTCTGAACGACTTTTATCACTAAATTGTAAAGATGGAGTTGCAGCAACTCTCACATACAAAGAAACAGAAACATACTACAGCCTCATCTAACGAAGACACACCGAACTACGGAGTGACTCCTGAATGAGAATTGCTAATCCTGTATCGCGATATGAAATCTCTTGCTGATTAGCATATATACAAGTTCCCAACATCAACCGTTGGGCCGCGGCCCGACAGGCTTGATCACCTAGCCTGGTCGGAGGATCTTCCCTTTGTGTTAGAGGAACATGACACCCGTTCCTCCATAGAGGAATCCTGGAGTTCTAGTAGCAAAAGACTGTTTGCTTAAACATATAAACATACATTCCACACTCAAGCCTTATTCCAGGGTAGACAGACTGAGAAGGTAGAGCATCATCTATACTATCTATACTTCGACATTCATGATACCGATTACGGGTGCTTTTAACCAGGCTATTTTTCAGTATACTCCTGATCTAGACATGATACGTCTTTCGGGGTCCACCTTATATTCTACTCGCAAGAGCCATATCAATCTTTTATGCATTCCTTTTCACTCCTTCTTTATCAACCCTTGTCGCATCATGTGAGATGAAAGACAAACGCTGTGCAATATTCATTACTTCAGATGTTTCCTATATGATTTGATAACATTCCAAACCTTATACAGAACTTGAAATGTATAGCATATAAGTGTTTGCATCATCAACATAAATCATTAAGATTAAAGTATGTTCATAATATCGAAGGTAGCCATCACCACCAACTACCTCCATCACGTATATTATACGGAAACGAAGCTACTTATAAAACCACTTCGTACGTCAATAGTTTCTGACCGCAACTCTGTTGGCGTAAAGTGACTTATCTTAAGTACGCAGACCGTTGTAGATGAAAAACGTTATTATAAATATGAATAAGTCTAAGCATATGGCCACCTTATGTTCTTTGACTATTTTTAGAAATAAGGTTAGGTAACGTAACGTTAGCGGTTTTATAGAAACATGAATTAAATAATAACTAGTGATGTCATATGTTTCTATTCTTAAACGACTCTTTTATTCTTTGGTTTGACAAATGTCAATTCTTTTTTTAATTTACTACCTAATTTTATAGGACCTGTAAAGTAATTTATTTAAGCTATAAGCAGTGTATTAGGTAATTTAATGTTGTGAATAACTAATTATATTATTTGAACAATGGCGTGAATGAATTGATGTCATTTTGAGTCGAACAACTCATTTATTAATACAAATTAGATTCAGTTTTTCATCTTATTAATACGTTTGTGGGTATATCTTTATTATAATATACTTGACAAACACGTTTGAAATGACAATAATGATACAAGAAGAGATTTATTCTATTGTTACGGTAAAATATTCAAGAATCAAAAAGATGTTGATGGAGCTTGTGTCCTTGTTGATCTTGATGTAGGAAGTGTACTTAGGTGACCAAGGTGAGATCGTGTTAATAATGAAGATACATTATACATACATGTTTCGGCTTGTCGACATACACATTAACTTTGAAGCTTTGAACCTATGTCGGAGGTCATGACTAGGAGCAAAAACATGCAGCAACAAGTATTTCGTAACAAAAAGTATCGTTTACAGCCAAACCGACTTAACTGTAGAAGAAAAATAACTATTGATAGAGGTATATAATTATCATAGGCAAAAACAGGTTTGAAAATACAAAAGCTGTATTTAAGTTCGACTTCAAAAAGAACTTGGCGGCTCTGCTTTACAGATGACACACATATCAAAATAATCATACTGAAATTGAACTTTAATCGAAAGTGATATGAATAAAAATTGAATAGATCATGCAACGGGCTCAAAAACATCGGGACCGTAGACAGGAAGGAGATGAATTGGATACGATATAGGGTGGCAACAGGTGTCCAGACAGATGTGTGAACACGTGTCTCCAGTGTATTTCACACACACACTTTAAACTATTCAACAACACCTTACGGGCACTCAAATTACCCCTTTTTAAAATCAAAACTACCCAAAAAAAGACACTCAAGTACTTCTTTATTGGATAGTGAAACAGCGTATAACCAATTAAAATCACACACCTCCGTGAGTTAGGAATTTTGGAAAGAATAAGCCTCCAATTGAAGGTGACAGAAAAAGAAATTACACTTGGCGCTTTAGAAATCGCAAAGTGCGAGTGAAATATAGTGAAACGGGACTACATGAGCATGAAGCATATCGACAATCAAATTAAATTCAAGTAGGTACAGTAGTGAATGAGTGGCGGAGATTCACGTGAGTCCATTGTACTATCAACTGTTATTATCTGTAGAATGACTTACACTTCTTCTAGTACTTTTGCTGTTGTTTCCTCGTTAGGAGCAACTGATGACCTCAAATGTAACAGCTTTATTGTTATTGCTTGTTGATTGTTGTCAGTGCCTTCATATTGTGCCAATAATTATGCATTATGATTATCTTTGAATTCTTCAATGGAAATGGTGTAATGTGGTTTATATATTAATCAAAGCTATACCTTTGTTTCATTTATAGGTGTTATAGTTAGGTTGCCGTATTTTCTATTTATTATCATAACTAATATTAAAAAAAAAACAAAAGTTGAGTTTGTTCATTTGCTAGGTACGCTATTATACTCACTGGATCGTCATGAAATTTTTCATACATGCTTAGAGGGGTACAGAAAAAAGTAAAGAGTGCCTTTTCAACAGGTAAAAACACTGCTTCCGAAAGATGCATTAACTGATTGACAAGCTGTGAGCAAAGACTAATTAATACAAAATGTTAATATTTTAATTGTATAAAAGGAGTCAAGGTGAACTTCTGTATAAATGATAGTAAATCTATTTATAGTGTTAGAAACACTTTATAATACAAGTTTCTTTCGTACCAAAGCTTTCGTACGTTTCGAAAGCTGTTGATAGTATCTTTATTTTTGATTAACTATTTAGTAATATTTTAAGCATTCAATGACGATTAATATTTGAAAGAAACTTTTGAAGTTTGCACAAAAAAATGATGAAAATTGAGAGATAATTGCTTTAATCGATTCAGGATTTTTCTTAGAATGCATTCAGAAACTACGAAATGTGATATTAAAACTAATTTAATATTTTGTGTACAATAAGATTTTAATTCGATATTATGTTTTAATAATCTGAGCAATTTTATTTAACTCGAAGATTGGACGATTATCAACAAAAGCCATTTTAACAGCAAAATATTATAACAAGCAGTGATTAACGTTTTTTTAACCCTCACAATCTAGAGGAGGAAAACCTTGAGAATCTTCATACATTAGTTTAACTCGTACGTGATTTAAGTGACGCTGATGTAGCAAGTTTCACACAAGTAGCTAGTTTTACCGTGTCATTTAGTACTTAAGTGAGCCGTTGTAATAACATGTCAGCACCTGCGTTCTGCATTCACGTGACAGCCAATACTAGCATACTAAGTACATGGGATTGGGTAGTATTATAAATGATTAATGAATTTCTTGACCGGTAGGAGGACATCAAGTATGTTAGACATTGATAAGATAAAACCTATACATATTCATTACAACTTTGATGTTAATATTGATAACAATTATCGTGAATTGATAAGTTTCTATAGTACTACAGCTGAGTGCGATAAACCTATTAGAATATTGAGTTTTACCCAATCATTGGAAGCAGAATTGATTATATTTGCACAAAATTCTTATTTATTAGACAGCTGTAAAGAAAGCGAGAGCATTAGATGTCTGGTAAAACAGGAAAGTGATTCCATCTCGCTTTCGCATACGGCGTGGATAGGGATGGAGAACAAAAAGACGGTTACGACCGTTTGCATGATGCAAAATAAATAATAAAGCCATGACCGACTCCATCTTGGAGTTTGCGGGTTTATACTGCGATGACATCATCCTTACTTATTTTTTCAGTCAATATAATAATCTTTCCACTGATGTTATAGACTCAGTAGGCGAAACATTCGGCCGTAGTGGATACTTCGACTCCGGCACCTGTTGCTATGCTGGCGTCAACGCTAATTACTTATAATCATGATAATCCGTTATGATGGGTACTCGTAGCCAGAATTACCTTGAATAATGATAATGGGTTTATACATGACACATACAGGTGACTAAGATACATTCATTGGAAATTTAATAAAGCTTAGATAAGTTGACTTATGAACCCAAAGTTCATACATCAATTGAAGTTTATAGTACGTCATCATAGATCTAGAAGGCTCAGCCGCGACCCTTGACCGGTCATTTAGTTACATAACTAACCTGTTTGCCTCCGGCGACCATGGTGGCTGTTTTAATGTCACACGCACAGGATAATGTCACAGGCACAATCACAAGGTTCTCTTTAAAGTGGTCTGGGGGGTGTGTTTCACGTAAGCCGCGTCTGCCGGACGCGGCGGTAGAGTTTGAACTGAACGGTCGGTGTCGCGCCGGTAGTACCGCGGGGATGCGCGAGCGCCCCGTGATCAAGGCCGCCGCGCGCTCACCTTACCTCACGACACAAGCCGCCTACAGTCTCGCTACTTTTTTCCTCATTTATATTGAATAGTGATCCAATCGAGGTACACTCATCGTTTATTACCAGTATCAGTGCTGTGCATTTTTCAGAAGTAATTACACCTACAGGTGAGATAATTTTTATTTGTTTGCAAATATTTGTACATACATACGATAACAGTTATATTTCTCTTTGACTTGCTAATTATAAATATCGTTACGTAACTAGTTATTAGAATAAAATACTTTTATAAGTATTTATTTTATTTATTAAGGATATATTATTTTACTTACGTATTTATAATTTATTTATTAAATTTCGGGTAGGCTCCAAAGGTTTCGGACCGGATGAGGTCCTTTATAACGGTTGGTTACCACTTTAACCGGATCAGAAGCTCGCTTGACCCTTTAATAAAGGGAGACCTTTGTCTTTCGGTCTGAAACTAATAGGGTACCCAAAGTACACACCTAAGTAAAACCATATTTTCTTAATACTAATACTCAAATTTTTAGTCTCTTTTTAAACCTGATCCGAGAGCCGTCAAGGCGAAGGCGAAGGTGGGTATCCAAAATATGCAATAAAACTAAAAATATGATATGTGTAATCTTTAAATCGTTAGTAATTCAAGGATCTGGCCATTTAATTCTGTCGAGTAGCGCTCCTATGTATGCTGTACGAAGTGCAAAGTCTGAGAATTATGTTTGCTCAAAATATATTCGTTACGAATTATTTCATTGCTGTAGCTCCGAATTCTATAAAATTAATTGAGAACATAACAATTTTATAACATACACGCGTTTAGTTCAATCTCGTGTCACAGTTTCATTACAGAATGAAACACACAATGGCTATTTCAAATAATTAATATTTTTATAGCTTTCCTACATAAATTACGTTCCAAGAAGTAGGTAGAAACGCTTATCCCATTCTGTTTGGACTGAAATTAAAATGGTTTTCTTAACGCTGTGCAGTTGGTAATATAAAATTTCAACTGTATTCATTAATGGAAACTGCAATTATTAACATTAAAGTTCTATTGAAAGTTGGAGGGAAAAACTACTTTTTAATAACTGCTTTACATTTAAAAAAAAAAGAGAAGAAAAAGGTACTAAATGTTTTTGATTTTGCCTATTTATGTAAAGCTATTAATAAATTTTGAAAAAACCCCTTTTTTTTAAA